CAAGTTGCCAGCTGGGCTTGAACCACGATACTGTTTCTGAGCTTTCTTCAAATTTCCCTTCTGGCACCTCTCATCCCCCAAAGGAAAAAAAACCATCTCCCACTACGTTGTCCTAAGCCTGATTCATGAATTTGTAAGCTGTCGTGTTTGTATCAAATTGTACTAAATACTAGCTGAAGTATATCCTAATATCAGCCATTCTTCTGATAAATGTTTGCTACTTCTGCTTTTCAGTGGCTGGTTTCATTGCCTACACAATAATGAATCTAAGACAAAAATAGAGTAATTTTTGTGAATTTGAAGATAATGTCCTTTTTTTTTTTTTCCAATGATTAGAAAGAAAATGAGCTTGAGAAACTAAGAAGAGAAGAAGAAAGTGCTAAGAATCTTGTTCGAAACCTGCGTCATAAAGTAGAAGAAGCCAGAAGTTCTTTAGCAATGAGTTGCAATCGAGGAAGAGTGCTTGAGGCTCTGCTTCAGCAGAAGAAAAGTGGAAATATTCCTGGACTATATGGAAGATTGGTAAATTTTAAAAGGCTACTATACTTTGAAGTCTTAAGTAGTATAGAAACAGTATGGTAATAGAGTGAAAGGTAGAATTCCTTACTTTTCTGGTGCTATGAATTTGGAAAGCAGAGTATTGCAAATCCCATGGATTTGCTATAAAATAAAAAATACAAAAAAAAAGAAATTTGAGGTTCCTCTACCCAGCACTAAATAAAGGCAATGGCTATGTGAAAGCGTTATGTTTTGGTAGGCTGATCTTTAAGCGAAATCCCTTTGGTGCAGTCTCTGTGGGAATATTTTGACATGGTTTAGTGATGGATGACATGGTTTAGTAGTGGACTTGGCAGTCCTGGAGTAAAGGTTGGACTTGATGATATTAAAGGTCTTTTCCAACCTAGTCATTTCTATGATTAATATGCTCAAGCCACAAATACTAACAATGTCTTTTACCCATGCCCATGCTTTGGTCCTGCCTGTGCTTCTGTGTTGGGCTGTGACTGACAGCTGTTGCGATTCTGATTCCTTTGGGTATTAGGAACATAATTGCTGGAGAAGTATATTTTAAAAATGTGTGTATAGATTTATCAAAAAAAAAGGATAAAGCTCAAGCAGCAGCAGACCGCTGTCTGGTATGGCTGGCACGTATTTTGTCTTATATTCTGTTAACCGCTTGCCAAAGGGAGGAGTGTGAGGTTTGTCAGTTCTTGGATAACTCGCTGTTGGCTGGGCATGCTGGTTTTATCTGCAGATACACAAGAATCTTGTCCAAGGTGGTGGACATCCCTGTACCCATCTTCCAGATCAGTACAGAACCCCATGCAGCACAGGACTTGCTGAGTCCTACCAGGCTGACCAATGGTAGAACCATCCACAGAACACAAAATCAGATGATCTTGTTAGGCCAGGCTAAAATGCTGGCATATAAAATGTAACATTTGTCTATGGAAAATAAATGAATGCTACTGCATTGCTCTACCAGAAGCACTGCTTTTGAAGCTTGAGTATATGAATTTCTACTATAGGAACAAGTCCATTAGGAATACATAAATAGCAGTGTGAAGGAGGAAACAGGTGTGGTATTATTTTACAGATTCTAATCAAGGTTTAAGCTCTTTCCGAAAAAGAAATATTTTATAATTTGTTTTCATTATTATTTTTTTTCTGTGAAGTTTTGTCATTTGTTTCATAATACCAAGACAAAACACTGATGCCAAGCTCATTGGTGCACTTCTGCCTCTCCTTCCTGACCCCCAACTATTAGGGAGACTTGGGAGCTATTGATGAGAAATATGATGTTGCTATTTCATCATCTTGTGGTGCCTTAGACAACATTGTAGTTGATACAATTGATACTGCACAGGCATGTGTGAATTTCTTGAAGGCAAAAGGAATTGGAGTTGCCACGTTTATAGCCCTGGACAAAGTAAGTACCAGCACTTCAGCAGAACAAATTGCTGATTTATCCTAATGTCACAGTCTTAATACTGTATATGTATAATGTATTAATGTGTAAAAATATGTATTATGTAGTAATATCTTAAGCTGTACCTGTATTGCTATGGGAAAGCGAAAATATAAAATGTTCTAATAGGCTGTTTGTTCTACAAACGTATTGTAGAACATTCTATAGCAAATGGGAATGTTTACTTAAAGAGAACCATAAGGCTTTTTAGATACCTGTATGTGTACAACAAATGTTTGGCATGTCTTTTTCTAATTATACTGGAAGTAAGTAGAAGGAAGCTTTACTGTTAGTTGCAGTACAGTTGCATTTGCTTTAAAGCCTTAACGTACCTAAGAATAATGAAATGACCTCATATAATTTATCCCCAGGAATTTCTTACTTGTTTATTTACTTTTTTTGATGTAGATGGCTGTGTGGGAAAAAAGTCTTCAGAAAATCCCCACTCCAGAAAATGTTCCTCGGTTGTTTGATCTGGTGAAAGCAAACGATGAGAAGTTTTGCCTGGCTTTCTACTTCGCATTACGTGATACTTTAGTAGCTAATAACTTGGAAGAAGCTTCCAGAATAGCATTTCAAAAAGAGAAAAGATGGAGGGTGGTAACGCTTCAAGGACAAATCATTGAACAATCAGGTATTTAAGTGCAAACTTGGAATTATATTTTAAGTTCTTCACAGATGCTATCTAAACACGATAAGCTCGCTAACTTCTTCTCATCTGTTTTACTTCAGGAACTATGACTGGTGGTGGGGGTAAAGTAATGAAGGGTAGAATGGGTTCTTCAGTTGTAATGGATGTTTCAGAAGAAGAGGTTAGTACATAATCTTAATTCTGTCCAGCTACAGCAAATTTTCAAGTTTTTACTTCACTTTATTTCTGTGTTTTATGAGATCATAGACTGTTGAGCAGGTGAATGAGGTTTTGCTTTACTAGGCAAATGATCATACGTCATTTTTGTGTAGGTCAATAAAATGGAATGTCAACTGCAGAAGGAGTCTAAAAGAGCAGTACAGTGTGAAGAAGAGAAATTACAACTTGAAGAAGCCATAAGCAAACTGCAACGAGATGTTCGGGAAATGAAAAATAATTTAGAAAAGTACTCAGCAAGTATCAAGGTGAACAAGTCTGTTACTGAGGCAATATCTGGCTTCTCCATCAATGTGCAGGGGCATGACTTCTCAGCCTCTGCTTGTTAGTGTCAAGAGTCTCTGAAATACAGGATCCTGACACAGTTGTGTTTTCCCTGTAGAATTTACCTGAACAAGAAATTCATCTGAAAACCCACATTAAGGAACTTGAAGCCAATGTAATTGCTACTGCTCCGGACAAAACCAAACAGAATGAATTGGAAAAAGTCCTTAATGGATATAAAAAAGGTACATTTTGTGGAGAAGGGATTAAAGATAAAAATTGTAGTCATACTCTTTCACTAAACCAGGAATGAATGGTTACAGCTTTGTTCTTTCAGATTTCCAGTTGCAGAACCATACTTTGGGTTGGAATTAACTTTCTTCAAAGGGGAAGGTAAAAGGTGCCTCCAAAGGTTAAGAGTGTGGCCTTTTTTTTTTTTTTTTTTGCTATTGCTCAAGTTCGTGTTTCAGTCAAGCTGAAGTAAACGTCCATTTTGGTATTTTTTGTTGATTTGATTACATATTTATGGCTGTGTTACAGACAGATTTATAGGGAAACTAAGTTTAATTTGGGGAAGAATTTTTAATGTGGAGCCAATATTAAAGTCAGGCAAAGGCTTTTGCCGTGCTCTAACTGGCCTGTTACGTGACTCTTTAAGATGAATACCCTGTAATCTGTTGTGGGCACAGTGTACCTCCATTCTTCTTGTGAAAGAAGACTCTGAGAACCAGAATAACAGTTACTCTGAAGAAACTGGTAGCTTAGTAAAGTAAACCTTGACTGTTTCTTTGAATTTCTTGCTCAGGGAGTAATACAAGCCCAGTAAAATGCAGTTCCCTTCCCCCACAGTTCTGCTTTGATAGCATTTTAGGAAACAGAATACATACTACTGTGGATTCCCTCTATGCCTCTTGGGAAAAGTATAGCATTAAAAGAGTATGAATGCTTTACTTCCTCAATAATGATAAGGTTTGATGTTATAAATATCTTCTCTAATGTTTCTACTAAGTAATGGAGAAACACAGACCTGTGCTGTCCTCTGGAGAGATGACTGCCTTCCACCTTGCCTGTCTTTGTTTTACCCCTTCTGGCCCCGAAAGGAAATTGTGAATCTGTAGCAAACTCAGTAGGGGATTTTGTTTGTTTTGCCCTTAGAATGGTGAGGTGCTGTGGTGTTCAGTTCTTGAAAGCTGTTTAACTTATTAAAATGGTTTTGTTCAGTTTTAAGTATCAGCTAACTAGGGAAACTTTGAAGTTAGATTAGGCTATTCAACATGTGTAGTAACTATACAGTAACATTAGCTTCTGAGCAACAGTTAGCAGCCAGTTCTTAAAGCTTAACCTTCGAGCATCTTCCCATTAAGTAAATGCCAAGAATGAGCTTCTTATGTGCTGTCTCACCTATTTAAATCCTCTATATACAGTAAGTAATCCAACTAAAAGTTTTGGTTTACACAAAAAAAAGCTTTGGCAGTATAACAGTGTTAGAAAGATGTGGGTGGTATTTTTTCTTTTTGCCACAGTAAAAAAGAAAAAAAAAACCAAAACATTTTTCACAGCATAAAGAAATAGGTACACTTCTCAATATATTTCTACACCATAGCTTTTTGTTGTGCTACAGTAGTCTGCTGTTCATAGAGGCAGCTCAGTGACCTTTACTTTTTATTCATCAACAGATTATGACTGTGCTGCTGAGAAAGCTGGTGAAATAGAAAGTGAAGTTAAACGATTACATAACCTCATAATTGATACCAATAATCAGAAACTTAAACCGCATCAAGACAAAGTTAACAAGATCAACAAAGAAATAGACGAATGTTTTTCAACTATTACTAAAGCCCAGGTGGCAATCAAGACTGCGAATAGGTATGGGGGATGTCAGTGGGCTCAGGTGCTTTAGGCTGTGACTACGTGGCTGTGGTTCCTGCCCAATTACATTTGGACATTCCTGGGGGGATTGGTCAGGTCAGGGGAGATGGTTTTCCCCTCTTTATGGCAGGAGGAAAACAGGAGGTAGAAGGTAATAATATTTTTTCTCTACACTGATTTACCTCAGGGTTAGACTGGTTCTTAATTAAGAACCATAATCTCTGTGAATTTGTGTGCGTTACAGACCTAGAAAGCTTAGTGAAATCTGACTGGGAAAGGGGCATGTCAGCCTGCAAATAGCTGTGTATGTTGGCATCGATACCTGCGAGACATTTCCTTGGTTTAATGAGCCTCCATAGCTAAAAATCCTGCGATCTTAACATCTTAATTTTCAGTCACATGTCTTAATACTAAATATTGCTTATGTCAAAGAGGTAAAGAGAAAAAAATGCTGTAGTTCTTAATACGGAGCTTAAAACTAATGTTTGTTTGGTATTTTTTTGCTAATATTTGTCTATCACTAAAATTCAACATTTCAGGATAAAGATTCAAAATAACACTTAATTACCATGCAGCAGAGCACTTGAAATCTGAAACGACTCATTCTATTATAAGGCATGTCAGGAAATGTGATATACTTTTTATGTTAGCTTAATATAATTATAATGAATACTTAACAAATGTCAAACTGCCTCAGAACAAATTAAGTAATTTAGTGAGGCTTCTCTGCTGTATGCTTTAGGAAGGCAACTTTGTTTTACTTGGATATCTCAGGAGTATGAGAGTTCATTGATAAATGAGCACTTCCTATTTGGTTGTTAATAGTTACTGAACATAGGTAAGATTGTGTGTCTAGATTATCTTACGTCGTATTTGCACTCACATGAGGAATACAAACCTCTCTGCACATGCAGAAATGTGAAAAAATCCCAAGATGCTCTTCTTCACATGGAGAAGGAATTGGAAGACAATGAGAAAGAAATCAAAGACTTAATAAAAGAACTGACTGAACTGGAAGCCAAAGCTGCTGAGGTTATGAATGACTGCAGGCAAGCTGAAGTAAGTGTCACGTTAATTTGGTGTATTCCCTCATAGAGGATGCAGCATGTGAAGTCGATTTTAGATAGTAGTTGTTGTGCCAGAATTGTTCTAAGGTCTGATGTCTGTCAGCCTTCGTCCTCAGACATTCCAGGCAGGCCCAGCCTGGCCTGGCCAGGTTGTGTTACCTGATACTACCTTCATGTATTTAAAAAAAACCTCCCCCGCCATTTAAACCCCAGGCTTGACAATGCAAGCAGTGTGGTCTTCAGGTAAAGTCAGGATGATGAGTTATATCTTAGTTATATTCTTCTGTTCTTATGCAAATGTTGTATAGCATCAGAGTGATATTCCATGATGGTATGGGAATGGGAATGATGTTTGTTTCTCTTATACTTACCAGGAAAGATACCTTGACGTGATTTTCTGAAGCTAAAAAATAAATAAATTAAACCAGGTTTCCCAAGGAAATTATTTGGTTTAAAACTTGCTTAAGAGTAGATATTTTTTTTCTTTCCCCCAGCTATGCGGTACTTCAGTTTGCGTCCAGATTTATGTACAAGAAACAGTGAAAAAAACAGGATGGCTGAAATTCTTCCAAATAAAGCTGTTTCTTTGAGACTGCCTGTCTCTAAAACTGCCTCTTAGCTAAAAACATCCCAGTGTAGGACTTGTTTGATCCAGATCTGAAAATATAAACTGCAGCATATTTTCAGTCATTTGAGAATTCAGTGACTAGCTTAATCTAAATACAAGAATATATATTTGTTTACATCAATACTTTGGACTGTGGAGAGTAAGTTTTGTGAATAATATCAGGAAAGCAAACCTATAACGTGAGAAAAGTGGTAACATTTTTGTAGGCAACTGATTAATGTGCTTTATTGGTCATTTCTGCTTAGGAAGCATTGCCAGGAGTTCAACAGGAGCATCACAATTTACTCCAGGAGATAAAAACCATTCAGGATGAGGAACATGCACTTCAAAAGGAAGCTCTTAATATTAAGCTGAAAATGGAACAAATTGACAGTCATATTTCTGCACACCAGTCAAAGATGAAATACTGGCAAAAAGAGGTAAGGATATAGTCAGTTCCAAAAACTAGAACTGTGAGATCTCAAAGGATTAATATGTTAACATGTAGGTAGAAAACAGATAAATTGGGAGAAAATTCATATTAACCTCACAGTTTGTGTTTTACGCTATAAAAAAACAACTAAAAAAGACGACCTTTCAGTCTTCCTCTGGTTTACATTCAAGGTTATAGATGAGTTGTGAATTAAATGGTTTAGCTTCTAGCTTTTCAATTTTATTAATTCATGAAAGAACAATAGAAAAATTAGAACTGACAACACTATCTATGAGTAATGAAGAGCAATGAGGGCAAAATACGTAGGCCATAAATGGCAATCAGGAGAATTCTTTTGTCCGCGTATCCTCTCTGTACACACTAAAAAAGATTTCAAAAGGGTAGGCATCCTCACAGGTCAGAGAGGCAAAGAGGAGTAAGGTATTGATAACTAAACTACAAGTTATGCATAAGCGTACTCAGTGCTGTGTCTACCTAGCTGTTCTTCACAAAAGGGCAAGACCTCTTTCTTGAAAGCATTTTGCCTAAAACTTGTAGTCCATTTTGTATATCAAATTGCCTTTCCCCAGTTACACATAATTTAGGAATTCCCTGGGGCCAGGAAGAAATTCTGCTCTTCAGATTGCTGCTTGAACCAGCTCACTGAATAAATTAAAGCCAGTGGGAGCAAGGAATTGCTAACTCCAGTGCTAGAACACCTAGCTTCTCAGACTCGGGGTTGTATCTGAGCAGGACTGCTGGCAGCCTTCCTGCAGGCAAGCTTTGCACAGAGCTTCTTGCAGTCACGTCCATTCTCACAGCTCCCATTCTGTTGAATAAGCTGGTTCTAAGCACTGACTGATGCTTGGTGTGTTAATGTCACAAGCGTGATCAGCTGTTGGGAAGGGCTTTAAATTCTGGAAACAGTTCTGCGCAGAATCCTGACATTTTCTGGCGTAGGCTGGCAGAGTGCAAAGTCAACAAAAGGCCAAATGTTCAAGGCTCTGTCCAAGAGCCTTGGGCAGCATAGTTTAGAGTGTGGTGTCCCTTCTCAAGGCAGGTGGGTTGGAACTAGATGATCTTAAGGTCCTTTCCAACCCTAACTATTCTATGATTCTATGACCTTTGTAAAGCACAGTGCCCTTTATACCCTCATGAACATGAGGGTAACAGGGGCAGCTACTTAGCAAGCAAAGCTGTTGTCAGAAACCTTTCAGTCTTGAACACACAAAGTATTGAGTGTGTCATTGTTAAAAGTTCTGTGGCATCCGTAGAGGTGATTTCCTCTTTATCTGCTGCTGCTCCTATTTCATAGAAATCTCCTCTGTAAGAATGATTTATATAATTCTCAGGATCAGAAGTATCAGCATGAAAGGAAATCTGTTGTCTTTTTTGTCTCATTTTTAAAAGGGTTTATGTGAAGTATCTTTGAATGTTTTAAGATTGGAAGCTTCAGAATGTACTAACACAGAAAATGTTTATTTTAGAAGTGTTCATGTGATAATGAATGTGATCTTTAAAGATTTCTAGTAACTGGTTTTGAATTTTTAGATGTCAAAATTATCACTGCATCCCATAGAAGATAAACAACCTGAAGAACTTCCAGTACTAAGTCAAGAAGAGCTGGAGGCTCTCAAGGATCCCAATGTTATCACTAATCAAATAGCTCTCCTGGAAGCCCAGTGTAAGGAAATGAAACCCAACCTTGGTGCTATTGCAGAATACAAGAAGAAGGTACGGTTAATTACTGGCAGGCAGTCATGGAATTCATCTTTTCGATATTGTATTGCCTGTTTGTGCAGTTGATATGCCCCTCATTAAAGATAAGTGCTGCATCTGCAGCTTTGTTATTTTCTGGTACTCGAATCTGTAGAGAATCTTATCTTTGCTTTTGAAGTATGGTGGTAACTGTCCACTTGTGTGTTTTTCTATCGGTGACTGCTCAGACAGGTCCTACAGTCATAAAGATGCACTCATTATCACCTACAGGCATACCAGAAAATGGTGATCTCATTCTTCTTCAGTTCCTTTCTTTCGGAAATTGAAATGGAACCCTTATTTTTCTCTGAGTATTTGTTAGCTTTGCCTGTAGCCATGTCAAAGTTGTCTTTAGGAGCTTATGTATGCCTTCTGTATTTAGTGCCATCAATGTCAGGTGAAGAAAACTTTCTCCTGTGAAAGTTCATAGATTCATTGAATGGTTTGGGTTCGAAGGGACCTTAAAGCTCATCTAGTTCCAACCCCGCTGCCATAGGCAGGGACACCTTCCACTAGACTGGACTGACCAAAGCCCCATCCAACCTGGCCTTGAACCCTTAGGTTTTAGTTTATTTAGAAGTCAAGAAGAAAGCTGACTTATCTAAAGTCAGCCAGTCTTGACAGTCTATACAGACCCACAACACCACACACTAGGAATTTTTTCTCCTTACAATACCCGCTTCAGTAATACTGGACTATTCAACAGATTAAATATTTTCATATTTTAACAAGGGTTTTCCATCAGCAATATAGAGATTAGGGAAAAAAAAAGGTAGCTTGGTTTGTTCTTTTGTTTTCAAGGCTGGTAACCATTCTGGGAAAAATAAATTTTCAAATGGTAGGAAAAACAGGTTTAAAATTAAAATTAAGGAGACAGCTTCTTTTACTGTACTTCTGTTTTGCTGTGGTTTTTTTCTACAGGAAGAGCTGTACTTGAAACATGTGGCTGAACTGGATGACGTTACCAATGAGAGAGACAACTTCAGACAAGCTTTTGAAGATCTCCGGAAACAAAGGCTAAATGAGTTTATGGCAGGATTTAATGTAATAACAAATAAACTAAAGGAGAACTACCAGATGCTTACACTGGGAGGGGATGCTGAGTTAGAACTTGTGGACAGTCTGGATCCCTTCTCCGAGGGAATCATGTTTAGGTTTGTCAGAATATGTTGTAGTATTTTTCTAATTCTTAATTGTTGTATTCCTTTTTTAATCAACCTGCTTTTTAATTTTTCACTGATACCAGCTAACCAAGACAGGTGCTGGCAAGATGCTGACAAAAGCCACAGCTTTTTAGCACTAAGATCCATTTCTCCTGGAGAAATGAGTAACAGCAGTTACAAAGTAATTTGAAGTAATTTCTCAGAGTTTCTTAATTGCCAAATTGTTTCATTCTGCCTAGGCACTTGTGTCAATCACAGTGGTAACTACAGATTATTCTGTCATAAATGCTCTTAGGAGTACATTAATCACCTACATTAATAAAAGCAGAATAGTACTTTTGAAAGATAATTAAATAGCAGTTCTTCAGTTCTTGTAGTTCCTACAGAGCACAGCCATGTGTTTGAGTTCCAGAAAAAACTGGTTGACGATGTCACTTTGCGTGTACCCAGGGAGTTACTCCTCGGGGAAGAGAAATAATCTGCTTCACTTCCTCCCCACTGCAAAGGACTGAGAGTACCAAGCAGCTCATCTGTGGCTTTAGTCAAGCTTCTTTATGCACCCATGTCTTCCAAGAATTCCCTCCCATCTTGTGAGTTGCTTTTCACCACAACATACTTATGACTTACAAACTCTTGATCTGTTTCAGCGTTCGGCCTCCCAAGAAAAGTTGGAAGAAGATATTTAACTTATCAGGAGGCGAGAAGACCCTTAGTTCACTGGCTCTAGTTTTTGCTCTCCATCATTACAAGCCAACGCCACTTTATTTTATGGATGAAATTGATGCAGCACTTGACTTCAAAAATGTGTCTATTGTAGCATTTTACATATATGTAAGTATTTAATGGTAACTACTGTAGTATAATTTTTCTCAGATATTTTCTTCTCTGCCAGAGATGAATTGTGATATAACACAGTCAAGGCCAGATTTAAAAATCCAGAGTAACAGAGAATTAAGTGGAAATGATGTGCTAAGCAGATTTTTAGAATGGTTCTTAGAATGCTGCTTTCTGCATGTTTTTTTCTAAGCTGCTAAGTCTGATGCTCTCCTGAAATGAGGCGACTTGTAGAGGATTTACGAATTTTTTCCTTCTAAATCCTGTTTCAAAGCTGCCTAAAGAATGCTGGAATTTACCAAAGGTGCCATGTTTCCATACACTTTTGCTGCTATTGCTTCCTCTTTAAAATGAACATGCTTTCCCCAAAGTCACCAGCTGTAATCAGCTGAGAACAGAGTAACTTACTTAGCTCTTAGTAACATGTTTGTGAATCCAATCTCATTATTTGATTCTCGGGAGCAGTCAAGGTTCCTGGGTTGTATACTTCCATTTCATTAACATGAGCTGTTTCCTACAGGCTTCTTAGATCTGTGTCTTTATTAGTGTCTTGGGTTTTTTTCTTTCATGCTTTTAAAAATTCTGTTATTACCATATTTAAGCAAGGCAAACATTTACATTACTACCGTTCCACCAGTTGCTAATTTAAACGTAGAATTTTCAGAATTCTCCGAAGTGTAACCACCAGTTTTGGGAACGCCCTAGAAGTGCCAAAGATTATCATCCTTACTTAAAATTAGAGGAACGCTTTAAAAATACCTGCCTGCAGCTGTAGTTTTAAACTTTCCTTCCACAATGCCTGTATTTTCACAGAGAAGGATGATTTGGTAGAGCAAAGTGATTTCAACTGCAGTGTAGGCTAGCACTTAAATTTAACACTTAGTATAGTTTAGCTCTTAAATGAAAATCATGGCTTAGTATAGAGCTGTAGCTAGTATCTTGTATACAGCCAGAGCCAAGGGCATTGTACCTTGGCTTTGCTTCTCCTGCCTAATGCTCTCAAGATCTCTACAGGGCTTGGAGGACTGGTGAACTTCCACTGATGGTGCTAGATTCTTAAAGTTGGCTTTATTTCCAAAGTACCACAGATTTAGATAGGTTATCTATTGTTCCACCTCAGGATCACAGCACTAGCATTTGTCAGGGCTTGTCCTCGTTAGCAGAGGGCTTGCTTTCCCCTGGTCTCAGTTCATGGAAGTATGTTTGGTTTCCGTTTAATCCCTAAACCAACCCTTGCTGTAACAATGCAGGTAAATTAGTAATATCCACCTTCTTGTGGAACTCATGTTAAAACTGTGGTGAATTCCGTCTCTGGAAAGAAGTTATGCACGCTGCATTGAATTCACTCAAGTAGGTAAAAGGAGGAAACAAACACTGAAGTACATCACAGAGCCTCACACTGACTGCCACGCTGGGCATGTGCTGTGCATGGGCAGATTACAGAGAGCAGGAACTGTCACCATCACAATTTGTTGAGTGACACACTTCTAGCAATGTATTCCTTAGTTCCTAAAATGTGAATATAGGGATCATACGGGAATGGAGTTTTGAAAAACTATGGGCTGACACAAAAAAATTCTGTTTCAGGAGCAAACCAAAAATGCACAGTTCATCGTCATCTCCCTGCGGAACAACATGTTTGAGATCGCAGACAGGTTAATTGGAATTTATAAGACTCACAATACGACAAAAAGCGTGGCAACAAACCCCAAAGTTATTGCAGCTAAAGGACTGGATGAACTCAAGGCTATTGGGTGCGGAATAGCTCAACCATAGAGTGTACTTACATTCTCAGTGCTGCTGTTTTATGTAATATACTTTTTCATTTGAGATTACTTTTGTGTTTGAGCTTTTTAATCAAACCAGCCTCAATAATTTGATTATTTTTTTTAATTAAAAAGTCTATGTATATCTTAATTTTATGAACTTGAATGAAAGAGAAAATCTATTTCCTAAATTATGTATTTAGCTGCATCTTAATACTCCAGGTATAGGCTTTATGTCAATGCTTGGGTTCCACATTTGGTTTTAAATGCGTTTTTTCCCGTGTTTATTAAAGTAAGGAAATTGCTTTTAAATGTCATCAGTGTCCTGTAACATTTTATGGTGTGAGTTCCAGTAAGTCAGGTCAGTATATGTATCGTTTACATGTGTATAATGTCATATGTCCTGCTGCAGGGTTTAGGGAACAGCCAGTTGTAGCCATTTTGTAGTGACTTGGTTCAGTTCAGGAAGCTGCTCTTCTGTTCCTTTCCTCTCCCCTCCTGCAGACCAAGGCATGCAGTTAGGGTTGTTCAGTACAGGAAGTGTGTGGGGTTTTGGTTTTTTTTTTTGTTTGTTTTGGTTTTTGGGGTTTTTTTCTGTTTATGTTTTTGTTTTGTTTTGCTAGGGTTGGTGGTTTTTTGGGGTTTTTTTGTACTTTTAGAACTGAAATTGTGTATTTTACTCCAAAACCCAGGCCAGTGTGGCACACTTGCACTGGGATTGCTCCCTGAGCCGGGAGTGTATCTGTCCCATGTTGGCGCACTTCCTGAGGTGGGGAATTACACAGAACTGACCCAACGTCAGTGATGGGACAGCCTCAGCCCAGCTCAAGAGGCCCAGTCAACAAGGAGCAGATCTAGAACAGGTAAAGAGAGGGGGTCCTACTGGAATAATTAGCTATAAAGTGTGGAGATACGCTCTCCGTGTAATGTTCAATGTTAAGGTTTATCAAATTAACGTACATGGGTAAAGCCTGAATTACTGTCAGGAGGTGAACAGGGTCTTGCATTTGGGCAGTGTTCAGAAACTGCAGCAACACTCACACACATGATATTGGATGAGAAAAATCAGACCACATCTCTTCTGCAGCCCTCCTCCAGCTGTGCAGTTTTGGCTTTCCTGTCTCAGGATGAAGCCAGAAAGTGTTGCAGTGCAGCTTCAGGATCAGCAGATGGGCAAGACCAGCCAAGAACAAAACAGGTATGGATCAAGAAGCAGCCCTTTTAGAGCAGCAGCAGAGTAATGACCTAGCTCAAGAAGGAGAAAGAAACCTCGCCCCAGGGTTGAGGGGCACAAACCCCTCAGGCCTCAATTAAAATGCAGTAAAAAGATTGAATTTTCTCAATAAAGTTTGTCTCTCTCAAACTCAGGACAGAACAGAGCAGGGCTCAGCTGTGCAATGCTTAGCAGGCTGGGCTAAGAGGGAAAGGAGTTGCCACACCAGCACTTGCCACCTGCTGCCAGAAAACCAGGTGAAATGGGCCTGTGGTGGGCAGGGTGCGTGACTGTGCAAGCTGTATTGGGATGCGCAGACTGGGAACTCTGCCAAAAATAAAAAAGGGTCACTTGGAGTCAGTGTTGCTGAACAGTCCTGCGTAGGCAAGACTGGCTGCTCTTTCTTCTCTCACTGGGTCAGTGCTCTTCAGGATCAGAGGGAAGGAAATGGAGGTGTTAGCCAAGCCTACTGTAAGAATACATTTTATTTGTATGCAAATTTATTACAAGTACTACAAGTACTAAATGTTTAAATCAGTGGTAAAGGCATTTTATAAATTCCTGTAGTCTTGAAAAATAAAATTGCATTATAAATTCTTCAGCTTTTAAAAGTTAGGAAAATAAGAGACAGGAAGGCAAGTCAGAAAAGATGCCTCAGATGGCACAGGACCAACATTCAGCACCAGGCTTTGCCAGCCACATGCACCCAGTGACAGCTTTCCAGCAGGGCTTAAGGCAGAAACAAACCCTCAAGTTTACTGGGAAGCTGATGTGGCAACATTTATGTGGGCCCAGGGTCCACTTACACACCCTTCCAAATCCTGACTTCTGGCATTAATAGGATTTGCCTCTCAGAATCTAAAAGATGACAAAAGAAACAGCCAGAGGCCACTCCCCTGAGCACTGTTGGCTCTGGCCAAGGTCATACACCATGCTGAGCTGCTGGGAAGGGACCTCTGCCACCACTGCATCGCTGACTCAGTGTTTTATCAATACTGTAATACTAGGATCTCAATATCCTTACAGAATATTTATTTAGGCTTAAGGAATGCATCGGAATCAACCGTGCACTCAGCTCTCCAGGAAGCCTGGCAGCAGTGGATAGTTCGCAGGAGCCCAGCAGCATCTGCTGGTCGCAACAAGCAAGTTTTGGTTTGATATACCAACCAGTTCGCAGCTAGCCTTAGAATTCAACCACTGCACTTAAACAACTTCTATTATTTAAAACTACACAGCCAAGGAGCCCTACCATGCTAGAATATACTATTAATTTTATAAAGTCAAATACCGTTAGACATGGTAAATAATAATTTTTGGGTTTTTATAAAATCATCAGTGATCCACGTTCTGCTGCTGTGACTGCAGCACTTCAAGGCTGCCCCAGTGCTTGCTGTAATCAGCCCGTTAATAACAAAAGGCCAAAGCTGTCTTTCCCTGGGGCCTTTGCTCCAGACCACAAATTAGGCTGGAGCACCTCAGCAAAAGCAGCAAACGGGGTTGGTAAGCGTTGGACTGCGGAAGAAAATGCACGCATTTCCTCTGTGTCAAGGTAAAGATCTGTGATTTGTGCTGAACAGTGGAATATAAATTTACACTCACTGTCAAATTGTTTAAGAGCTCTGGACAATGTTTGAAGTCCTTACGCCACTGAGTTCAGTGGGAGTTCTGCTACTTAATACGGTATGTCTGTATTTTCACCACATCTGAAATGATTTAGCACAAAGCCAGGGCTCATTTTTGAGAGTGGTGAGAGGTTCCTGCCAGCCTGAGCAAACATACGATTTGTGCGCAGCTGGTGCTAAGAAACTTCAGTATTTCACCAGAAATTCTATCAATACCGCTCTGTAAAGAGGCATAAACCATCTGAAAGACACAAAGTTATTGTGCACAGGTTAAAAAGAAAACCCAAACAAAACAAAGATGAAATCATGTTCTTCACCAATAACCAGGAACAAAGAAAAAGAAGCCCTGGGCCATGAATATGCACTTTAATGACCATGGCTGTGTTATGTAAAACAATCAAAGAGTGGTCAGTAAAACACAAAATAGAAGTTTTACCATACCAGAGCCAGTGTCTGAGGTCTCCTTCTAACCTTAAGCCTTGTAACGCTTTTATTAAAAAAAAAAAAAAAAAAGAAAAAGCTGTTAGATTTTCAAGGAGTTTTTACAAATAGGACTCAGGATTACGGTCTGCAAGCCAATCACAGCTCTTTGCAGCCACTGTTTCTGAGTACCTTCAAGTTCAAACAAGCACCTACCAACCTACTGTACTGCATCAGCAGAAGCCTTTTCTGTTGCAAATCTTCACAGTTAAGAGCGAAGAGGAAATCTATATGATACAGAAAGAAGGAAGGATATGGAAATAATATAAAGTAAAAGGGTAAAGTTTTAACAAACCAACTTCTAAGTAATCACCGAGATAGATGGTCAAAAAAAACAGTTCTCCCTAAAATTTCCCAATAGTAAATTAAACATATGGTCCAGCATATCTGCTGTATTCTGCAAACGAGTAACAAAATCTTGATAAATAAGCACCAGGAATTCTGACATATAAGTGCGAATATCTTCAAATACAACTGACAACACTGGCCTGTGAAATGAAAACAAAGTTACCGCTATCATCATCATCAAGAGAAGCAGGACTGCAAAAGGATTTACTGGCTGAAGGAGTTCTGAGTCTCTTCCTTCTTTTCCGCTGCCTTTGCTGCAGAACTTCTCTTTTGGAATGAGTTTTATTTCTGGAGTGAGGATCTTGTTGATCTGACCAATTCTGGTTTTGGACCACACATCTTTCAACAGGTGCCCAATCCTGGGATGAATCTCCACAGGTTTAACATCCGGGAGTTCCTTCTGTTTCAGAGCTTTTATACGCTGATGTAGACCATTCACCTTCTCAAGAAAAATAAGCGGGGACTCCTCTTTTTTAATAGAGGTATGCAGGGACATTAATTCGAGCTGTTCTTCCCTTATCTTCTTCAGCTTCTCAATGAGAGGATCATACTCTTCAAAAATGTGTGCATTCATTTCATCCAGTGCTGTCAGCAGAGCCTGTTTTTTGTGCTCCAAGATCTCGCCAAGTTTCTTAAAGTACTGTACTACTGCTTTTCTATCATCCTGGACAATGCTTTCACACTGGGACTTCTGTTCTTTCAGCTTTTCAATAAGCAGGCAGACATCAGTCCAGTGTTTATCAGTCAGCTGCTCCAGAAGTTTTCCAAAAGTCTCCTTTTCTTTTGTGTAGGCACTCTGAAGGTCATCAATAGGATGACCATTATGTTTTCCTATCGTAAGGCAGTGGCCGCACACCAATTTTCTATCCAAAAGGCAGTAAACGTTCAGTGGTTGCCTGTAGTGTTCACTGCAGGTTGCAACATCAGAGTGATCCTCCTGTTGGCATTTTTCAATAATAGCCTTCAGTGCAAAGTTGATAGGCAACGATTCTGTACCATCAACAGGAATTTCCACAACGCTCCTGCAGTTCGGGCACTTCAGGGAAATTCTCAGAGGTCTCCAGATGGAAAAGTTGCTCGACAGCTGAATGACATTTTCCAGACAATTCCTACAGAAAGTGTGGGAACAGGGCAGAACGCGTGGATCTTCAAATATGCTGTAGCAAATAGAACATGTTAGTTCTTCCTCAAAGTGATGCATGTCCTACGAAAGAAAAAAAACTGTTTAATTTCTTCACAATCAACTCATTTTAATCATTTTATTAACCTAAGCCCCTCACCATGACAGTTGATGACAAATAACCTGACCTATATTAGCATTTTATTGGGGAAGGGGTGGGGAGGAAGAGACAAGAACAAAAATGAGCAGTTGTTCAAAGACTTCAGCAAACTGTGATGAGCACTTATAATGTGACTAGACAGTGTTCCCCCATATCCAGCTTCTCCTTTGAAAAGTCAGGAAAAGCAGCAATCTGCTACTAGATATTTTTAACAGTGACAAACAGTAGAAGAGAGTAATAAAAGCTAGAACTAAAGTGTCTAAACAACATAAGAATTATGAAAGTTTTCTCCCATTGTGAGTAACATTTTCAGTGTTAGAATAGAACAGTAAGTACAGAAATTTTTTCTTCTCCCCTAACTTTTCTCAAATGTTACTTTTATTATATAGTCACTTAGATTTACCAGAATCCACCTCTAGCACCTCCACTCTGGCATAAACCAGAGTCTAACTCAGTGGCCCTTAAACACAATACCCCTAACAGTAATTAGACTTGTGGTGTTACTGCTGGGTTACCTTAAGCACAAACCTAAAAATCTCATCCATTTTCCCCCCTTTGCAATGTTGCCCTGTTTTATTTTGCCAGCTTTGTGAAGTCACACTGTAAAGTCAAATAATAACAACTCTAATACCAGTTTTATAATAAATTATAATTTTGTTTTACATTGTTAGAAAAATAGGGAAATTAGTGCATACTTCCTTTGTGTCACATTTTCCTGTCCCCTTCATCGGTTCTAGTCAACAAAGAAACTGTCCAAGCATTTAGTATGAAAGACTCAATTTAGGGCCTACCTCTAAATCTGAAAACAACAGTATGCAGCTGGGACAGCCCAGATGCAAGAGATGCAGCCGAACCTCTGATTCAGTCAGGAAGATAATTACCTATGAAGTGTATTTCAGGAGGCTGTTGTATTCTGCTGTGCCCTCTTAATCTTTTTAATGCAGGAACATGTTTTTGCATTGATCTATCAGTGTTTCTCATTTATACCAAGACTAACAAAATTTGATTTGAAGTGAATCTACTTAAAAGGAGCTGAATTGTTAGTTATACTCTTCTTTGAAAGTAAAAGCTTAAACTGCATTTTAAATTGTGAAAAACACCAAGAATTAAATTTGCCACTAACTAATAAACAATTTATAGTAAAACAATTAAACAGCATTGTGCCTGCCAGAGGCACGGAGCTAACCTGGTAGAAGCTGGAAGCCAAATACTCACACCCTGGTTCTTGGAGAGTTAAATCAGCTCTGAACAGAGAAACCTACTGTGCTTGTACAAAAGTAAGCGTGGCTTATCTTACTTGATCGAGATAGGCTGGTACACTCAAAAGTGAAAGTGTTCAACTCTCCAAGTCTAAACAGACTCCTCTGCCTTGTAAAACCAGACTGAACAACAATAACAACAACAATAATAACAAAAATAACAATATCTAATGGCCATTGTCACCCAAAACATCCAGTTCATTCGCAGGAGGTATTTGTATGTTGTTCAGTCAACTTTACATAGAAAACACATTTTGATTATTTCAGCTTTAAAAAAAATAATCTATCCAAGACACTTCAGGTCATTTTTTTCAGCTAATCAGTACTAAATGTTGGATCACTCATTTGAACTCCACTTTTTCAAAGAGACCTTGACAGCAGCTGCCAGAAAATCTGCTAGAGAGACACATAATTCTTAAGAACTGCCCTTTAAAAGAGGAATGATCAAGTGTGTTAACATTTATAACTAGTGTATTCTCCTAGTTAAAGAGGATTAATATCAAGTACGACAGATGTTCAACAAAAGAAAATCACACCACTTTGACACTACATCTACCTCTGTACTGCACTGCTCTTACTATGCATCATGTAGTATTTCTCTTCTTACTAGGAGGCACAGGCCTTTATTTTCCAGCCTTTCCACTCAGCCACTGTGGCAACACTAGGTTCTTTAGGTCTGTACATTAATAACTTCACATTTTTAAGTGATGTTCCAGACACTGAAACTGAAGAAATGCACCGATAATGAAGAGAAGCTGAACAACCAATCTACTTCACTGTCCAAGATGGATTATTTTTTGTGAATTAACTCTCAGTACATTTAAAAGTTTTATTTTTATATATATACACACACACACACACATTTATACACACACACATATATATAAAGTTACAAATCTTGGGAATGTCACTTCTACTTAAAAAAAAGGTTAAGTTTTTGCTCATGGTTAAAAAAGAGCTTAGTATGTGCTCTCATTCATTACTTTTTTTAACATATATGGAATTAATATAGTTAAAAAAACAAACAAAAACCAAACCAAACTCCTCTAGGTTCCAAATCACTAATTTTTCCTAAATCTAGAGCTGTGGTTCTCTTCAAAGAAACTGTTACAGGAGGGAAATTTTCTTTGTAAAGAACACACATCCAGCTTATTCGAGCTATGTAAAGGGTGAGATAAAATTAATCTTCAAATAATTTGTTTTAACTGCAGAGTAGTTGCTTGCTACCAAAAAACCAAAGAAGCAACTTTATAAATTTTATTTTAGTTCTGTTATGAATCACCTCGAGCTTTTCAGGAGGGACGTGCTGCCCGCAGCAAAGCTGTTGGACTTTTTAAACTTGTTCTAAACAACTACTACTCCAGATATGTACCAGGGAAGCAAAAGGTAGAAATCACAAAATTCCACTTCATCCTGCACTGCTAGGAGCATGTAGGAAATGGTCAACATGTAAACAACAGTGGGAATATATCAGAAGATGTCTAACAGAAACAAAGACACTGGAACAGCAAAAAAAAAAAAAAAAAAACCAAACAAACCCAAAAAAGTAAAAAAAAATTTTCCAAGAAAAAAAAAAAAAAAAAAAAAAAAATAGGAGCAGGAAGCTGGTAAATGATTTCCTGCACAGAGCAGCTACTTGTCCTTAAACGTTCCAGACAGCTGTGGTAGCAAATATGTGTGTGCATGTGTATATGCATACTTCTAGTGAGAGTCACTCCACATAAGCAGATTACAAACTAGAAGGTAATTTAAAAATTCAAAAGCGTAATTGTGTTGGTAACACAGTCAGATTCAGAAGTCTTCCAGCAACAGAAGGCGATTAAGTGGCCATCATTTTATCCTCCTCTAATTAGCAACACTGTAGACAAGGTGGAAACATGTAATAGAGTATACCTGTGTTACAGCTTATCTGGCAAAGCTTCCAGTTAAGCAGATCAAAGTAACATAGCATATTCCTTGACAATACTGCATTCCTCACCTAGCCATCAGGACACTGTTCCCCCAGCTAACTATGCAAGATGGTGTTTGAAAACAATTCTAACTATGATACAGCATATGTCAGTGTTTAGGTAAATAACTGATTGCTTTATGGCAAAAGCCTGGAGGATTTTGAAAGGTGAATTTAACACTTGGTAACAGATGTGACAGCCTATACCCAGAGTCAGAAGGGGCTGCCAGGCTCCTCACTCCTCCTCGATGCCACTGTCAGTAAAGAAAACATCTGCTCTCCCCTGAAGGACACTATAAGATTTGACCTGACTTTCAATACTGTACTGTACTTAAACTAAATCCATGTCAGAAATGCTGTCTCCCCATCCCACTGAGGTCCACAAAGCCCTCCTGCAGCACTGCCATAGAAACTCAAGTTTATACTGTGCAAAAATAAGAGATTAAATGACATTGTGAACAATGTTTTCCATTTATAAGTCACCCTCATGGTAAAGGGTGACAAAACCTTTTAAAAAAAAACAAACAGAAGGCCAAGGTGCAGCTCCAGTATTTGTCGGTGCACCAAAAGGAACAGAGCCTGTCACACAGCCACCAAGTCTGCAGGTTGTAACAAGCCAGGCACCAGAAATCAGGAACAACAGTTAGACCTTACACTTTTCCATTCCAGTTCGTTTCAGCTGCACTGCTTTACCTCACGCCACAAACAGCCCACATGATGAGCAGCACATCTCGTTTCCCCTCCAAGCTGAATTGACAGTTCCCTTCCATATATCCCTCTACTGGCTTCTTGGCTGCCACTATAACAAGCTTACACAAGTTACCACATTCAAAAAAACCCCAAATATAGTACTCTATCCTTTCCATGTTCGTATTCCATTGCCAAGATTTGCTCTCCATCCCTTATCACTTGAACTCTGTTAAAGCTTCTGGCGTTAAGCACTGATCTGTCATCTGCCTCTTCACATTAGGCAGTGGAGCAAGAAGGAAGGTAACACTTTTCATAGACTCAGAACGGTTTGTGTCAGAAGGGACCTTAAACCTCACCCAGTCCCACCCCCCTGCCACAGGCAGGGACACCTTCCACTAGAGCAGGTTGCTGCAAGCCCCTGTGTCCAAGCTGGCCTTGAACACTGCCAGGGATGGGGCACGCGAGGGGGTGGTAGCGGGTCCTCATGCCCGCAGGGCGGGCGCATCAGCACTGCCCAGCCGAGCAGGCTGGAGAAGGCTGGCTGAAAGCGGTCGTTCCGGACACCGCTCCGCTCGCAGGGCGGTTTCAGCACAGGAGGCCGCGCGAGCCCTCACAAAACACCTCGTGGCGGGGTGCATGTACAACTGGAGCCCCAGGGCACAGCTGCCCCCGCTCCCACAGCCGCGCTCCC